AGGATATTTGCAAAGAATGGTAGTGATACTTACGGGTAGTCGTTTGCGATGTCAGCACGACGACGAGCCCTGGAGGACTGCGAAGGCGCTGGAGGGGGAGGGGTCGTCGTCTTTCCATTGGGAACAGTTTGAGGAGGGCTTTCACGGCGTACCAGGCTAAAATCACCAAAAATCAAGTGGTAAGTCCTGGATTGCTGTATGCAACAGCTTTGAAAACTTTGTGGATTATTGAATCTTACTTGTATTCTGCGTCATTAGGTTTGGTTTGGCGCCTGATCCCGGAGGTAGAGAAAGTCAGGCGTGTTCTTGATATGAAATGCAAGAACTTCGAAGTGGACTTACATGGACAAGGTGCTGTGCCCAGGTGCGTTGACGACCTGTTGACTCACGCTCAATCCGATAGCCAAAATAAAAAAACTGAAAGTCATTGAAAAACGCATGTTGATAAAAAGATAAATGGGCTGATAAAAGATTCAAACTAAATTTATTGACAAAAAAGGTGGATTGGTGAGCGGCAATGGATATATTCAATAGGAGAACTTATGATACAATCAAAGTGTAGTTGTTAAAAAAATATATAGTATAAAACAGTGGGCTATGAAGACGATGTAGAAGATGAAGAGAAAAGATGACTGAGGGAACAAGAGCCGTGATTTTATAGCGCTCTACAGTTATTGAAGTTGCAAAACCATGAGGCATCCCAGGCCCACGGTTTTCGAAAACCATCTTAATGGTGGCATGGCGCCTGAGGCTAATCAGCCGTCGCTTCAGTTACCCGCTCCGTGGCAGAAAGGAATTGACAACTTGCGCAAGCTAATTATATAGATGTCGTCTTGGATAGATTTCAAAATCCGGTTAGCCCATTGATCTGTCGGAGACTAAGAGCCAGACCTCATATATTATGACCTCCAACTGGCAAGGTAGCGTGGCACTGGTACTTGCGACTTGCCAGAAATTCAATAACATTATGATGTTCCCGCGTCATTTGCAGGTATTCACATTGTGGACCTGCGTTGCTGACACTTGCATATGACTTGAGTAGTTTCCAGATCAAGGAATGAGTCTTCATTGTAATTCTATTCCATCATTAAAGCGCGACGTTCGTGAGAAGACGACCAGGGAGATAAGCAATGAACGAATGTCTGGCAATCCAGATGTAAATGTGATTATTTACAATGAACAAAATCGAATGCTGTTTAATCTGACGTTACAAGCTTGTATAAAGTGGAAAAAGGTCCAATAAAGGGTAAATTGAGCTACAGAACGAAACCAATAAAGACTTTAAAAGGCCCACGAAACAAAACGAACATCGAAGACCTCAATTGACTAAAAATCCAATCAAACAACAATCCATCATTCCATCCGCATTAATCCAAGCATGAGTTTTCATAAACAATTCGGTTCCATCTTTACCTGCTACTCTCATTAATTCAGGCACACCTCCGGGATGATAATTCAAATAAGGTGTAATGTTATAAACTTTTCCATGAAAACTTGACCATGCATCATCTTTTTTATTATGTTTTGCAAGTTCATCTCTACTGATCCTACGAATAGAAAAGATTCCATCTCCCTAATCATTCGAAAAAAAACTTAATTTAGCAAGATGATTTTGATCTTTTGAAAATAATTGACTAACCCTTAAATTCTTTCCACTTGATTTTAACTTTGCCCAATCTAATTGACTAAAACCAGGTTGAAGCTTAACTTTTTTACGTAATACAGGAGGTTTAACAACAGTAGAGGTAGGAGGAGGTAAACTATCTATTTCAGAAAGATTTAATTGAAAAGAACCGGGTAAATCTTCATCACTCTCATCTTCATCATCTTCAGCTTCAGAGATTTGAAAGGATGGTGTAGATAATCGAGGTTTAGAAGAACTAGCTCGTTGAATCGAATTCTGAGCTGGAAACATTGGTGGGTCTTCATTTGAATCGGTATTTGGTCTTGATGCGTTGGTTTGATTCGAAGTCGATGCAGAATTGAAACCGAGGAATGAGAACATTTTGAGGATGATAAGATGAAAGGTTTGGAAGGAATTTGAAATCTATGCGCTCATGCATTTGGGACTCGGAGATCCTGGGAGATCTTCAATTGACAGATATGTACACTGACTGAGAGTCCGACTGAAGAAGGCAGGGCCAGACAGTACAGGGCCGGGTTACCAGCGATCATTTTACATCCACAACTAAAACAATGGCACAGTCATCCTTGAGGTTTCTCTTCATTCAACATTGAAGCTGGTGCTTTGGTATGTAAATACGCGAGAAGATGAAATTTCCTTCGAATATATATTAAAGACTCATACCTGAATGACATCTATTTTATTTCTGCCATACCTCATCCAAAGGACAAAGACAGAAACTACAAGCATCAAGCAATCAGAAGATGATGCAACACAATACACAACATGCCAGTTTTTCCTGGAAGACTTGTTTTGAAAAATGAAGATAAGCAAAAAATCTTCCTCTTAGTCTATTGTGCAAACTGTTTACCCTACACACTATGAAAAGGTTTCAATATAGTGCAGCGGAGTGTAGTTGTTTCTTGATGTACGTCCCAGGAAAAGTAGTATTAGTTAATCAGAGGGATTCTTTAAAGTATTGATCATACCTACAAAAAATACCGGAGGGCTCATAAATTGTGTGCGGAACTTGTAACTTGGAACTTCTTATGTCTCAAGGTCAATGATAGATCATTGGACCTGGAGTGGAATATATGGGCAAAAGCAGTTACCAATTGATTCACACTTTCAGAAACTGACTTTTGAGTCAACTTTCCTTTAAAATACAAAAGGATTGTGTTGCTTGAAACTAAAAATCTCAAATCTCACAATTTGACTTCTCTGGATGATGCATTTGTTACTGTACATCTTCTTTGCCTTCAATTAAAGCACTTCAACAAACCAACGGGAACTCATCTCAATTCATGTGGAAAAGTAAATAATTCAGAGTTGAAATCAAAGCAGCATCACTCCCAGTGGCATCTGCCAGTTTTGGCTTATGAGTGGCGTGACTTGTGAAATAAATTCCTGGTGAAAAACAAACCCAATGAGCAAGATGTCCTTGAGATCATAGCAAAATCAAATGCATTGCTTACTTCAATGATGAAAAAACTGAACCTTTAGGCTTGATTGACTCAGGCTTCATAGGCTCTAATCCTGACTTGTAGTAATATCTTGTACCTGGTTTTGCTTTTCCTTTTGAAAACAAGACAGAACCCAAATAGATAGCCGTAGCTGTTACATCGGAATCTTCTGCCCTTGCCCAACCCTCAGCACGACTTCTTTCTAGCCATTCATAATCTCGTTCAAAATCTGTATGGAAACGTGCAACTCTTTCACCTGTTTTCACGAGTACCGATGTTAATTCTAGTACTTTTTCGTTCAAATTTATGAGGAGTAAAAATGTACTGACGACCGTATGGTAATTCACCATCATAATCCGCCCATCTTTTTGCCTTCAAAGTCCATTCTTCGGACTTACCTTCTGCTATACCAATCAACCAAATGAGTGCTGTAAAGACTTCACTACTCTTTTCTTTTACAGGGATCAAACTTGGAACTGGTTGTTTTATGGCTTGTCTTAATGCCCATCTAGCCATGTTCTGCTCTTGAGTAACGTTGGGAACATAATCATCTAGTTCTTCAACTCTTATCGGCTTTGTTAATGAATCATGAGATTTCAGATATTCTATGGGTTTTCCCACACCAAGCCAACCAAATTCTTCTTCTTCATTGGACAGATATTTCTCATGATGGAATATACCTGGCAAGGAAACAAACGTCAGATGAATTTACGCTGAACCGATCGGAGGAAACGTATGCAGATGTGCGAATAGGGATAGATGATGTACCTGGGCATCCTCTAAAAGCACTTGTTCCCGCCCCATCTGATTTGAAGATGGGGCGTGCATGAAGACGAGAGAGACAGAGTCCCAGGAAAATTAAAGAGCTATACATTCTTACAAGCAATATCTGATTTACTACAGTAAATCTATGGGGCCATCCAACAGACCTTACCCTCTTTTATGTCATGGCCACCTGTGTGTGATACGGTCTTTGAAGCTGCAATGATAAACTGCGATGTTGAGCCTTCCATCAATTTTTTTATCAGAGATCTTTGATCTCACAACTATATCTCACACTCTCGATCATTTCTCGTGTACATGACTCGTAGCACTCAAACCAGAATTTGGGATCTGGGATCTAAGATTTTCAACCAAAGCCCCTCTCGATTTGGGTACGTAGTCCGCGAAAAGTCTATTTGAGAAGGCCCAAGGGAAAATGTGCGGCGAAAACAAAGATCAGTATTCTTGATGGTTATCTGCCTTAGTTTCAAAAGAATGCAAAAGGCATGTATTTGTGTAGTTTCCAAGTCGTTTTTTTGGATGGGAGTCGGACTCGGAGGGCAGTCCATGACACATTTTCTTTATGACTTGAAAAAAACAAGTTTCAGCTGTGGGTTTATGTTTAAGGTATTGGTTTGCTCCTTGATCGGCAATTTTCTGATGTGTCAGGTCACTTCTCTCTGTATCAGGAGTCTTGACAAGCAATCATAAAAAGGTTCCTAAGGTCACATGTCCAATAGGTTTCAAAAGAAGGTAGGCTCATATTTCGCCTAGAAAAAGTTGAGCCAACAAAACTGATCGGTTTCCAATCAAGAGGTGGGGCGAGAATGGTTGACGGTACCCAAAGGCACGCCGGTACCGTCTGTTTCCACAATACAAGGCGGGGTCAGACTAGGGCTGTGGCCCGGCCCCGAGAGTTCGTGGCCGGCCTTGGGGGCCAGATCCGGCTTTGGTAGACCCGAGGGCCTCCAAAAAACGCACATGGCCGACCGGGGCACGCCCTGAAAGCCCGGACACGGGGCCTGGCGGCTCTAGGCTCACATCTAGGGGCAAGAATGACTCGAGCTCACTTAAAACTCGACTGAGGCTCACGTAAAAGTTAAAAATTGATCGAGGCTCACTGGTAGGGGCAATAAAACTTGAACGGGGGATAACTTTTGAGACTGGTATTTCCAAATCAATGAGGACTTATCCTGTTGAGAGCCTACTTAGAAAACAAGAGAAAACAACTTTGATAGGATACTTGGATAACAAGAAACTCAATAACAAGAGAGGACAAGATTGAGCGCCTACTTAGATAAAAAGAAACTCTGCCTCTACTTTAAATTCTCGTGTATTTAATCAAGAACCTATTTGATTATGAAAAAGAAAATAAAGAACAACTTTGTCGATTATACTTCATCAAGTAATTTTAAACTAAGACTTTATTCCAGCTCTTGAGACAGACTTGAGCCTCGAGATTGGTAGGAGTGAAAGAGGCTCGGTGATCGCTCATAACTCTCAATGCGTTAGAAAAGCTACTCTCCGAAGGAGCACTCGTGGCAGGTACAGCAAGCATTGCCTTCGCCATTCGAGTAAGATTGGGCCAGTGACGTTTGTGAGTTTGCCAGAAAACGAGTGGGTCACAAGTCTCATCCTCTTGTGGTGCAGTGAGGTATTCATTTACCTTGTGCTCAATCGGGATGGTTCTGCGACGTTTTATGAAGTGTTGGGGACGATCAGCGTCGAGGGTTTCTTCATTTTTGACGATCTCGATGTCGGGATCTGGAGCTGGTCTGAATCTGGCGGCGTGATCAGTGAAGTATTGAATCAAATCTTCTTGTCCCCAACCGAGTGATTCCATAGTCTGAGCTTTGATGGTGTTAAGTTTAAGACGGGGATCGAGGATTGCTGAACATATGTAGGCTGCCTTCGTCTGGGCAGCCTCTTGATATTGAAGGATCTTCTTGACCATTGGCATGATTGCAGCTTTGAGTTCCTTGCATCTTGAATCAACCCAGGCCTAGAAACAAACAAATGCTAAAATCAGTAACGATTCATACAAAAGAAATAAACAAGAAGAAAAAAAAATGTAAAGAATCGAGCAAAAAATACTTACAGCTTCAAGCCGTGCCACTAGCCACTGATAGTCTGGCATAACAAGAGAGAAAGTCGGATACACCACTAAAGGGTTTTCGGGGAAAAATACGTGAGCCAGGGGGTCACTGCAGACCCGACCCCTGGACGAGCATTCTCTCGTTTTAGCAACATTTGAGAGGTGTATCACCAGATTTCTGCGAACATCACGGAGACTCAACGGGACCGGAAGCCCATCCATTGCCATCACAGGAAGCTGAGGTATCTTGTATGTGATGTAATACCACGTCCTTGAGCCGCTCATATTGCACCGAGCTCGTATGTAACCCAAACAAGCGTGAGAGACACGACATCCTTCCATGACTATCACGTTCCAGAGATCGTCATGGCACCATCAATATGCCCTTCAAACACTTTGATCTCCGATGCGTTCCGATGCATGAGAAGCACTCCAACAAAGAAAAGCGTGTGGGCAAAGACCAGACGTGTCAGAACACAGGTTCTGTTCCCCCGCTGAAGACCGTTAGATTGGCCTTCTCGAAGTTTTTTTCCGTGACCAACCGATCCAATTCTCCCAATCAAAGAGTTCTCCCTTGCCTTCGTTTTGTTTCAATCGAACACCAATTCGGTCTTGATTGTCTGTCATACGCACGCTCACATACCGCCAACACAATGCCTGTTGGATTTATATCATTGGCCCAAGCAAGTTCGGATGAATGTGAGGTTTCTCCAATTAAACAGTCCACATGAATCATTATCAATGTGTTTCTTGTCTTTTCCCTTAGACTTTGTCCAATTCACATCTGGGGCAAACATGGGACATTGGATGTGTAAACTCTGTACCAGTCGAACCTTCAAGGACAAGAGCAAGCACTGTAAGTTGAAAACTCACATCGACCGCGTCCGCGTGGAGCTGGAAAGACGCTCGATGTCTCCTCCCGCAGTGGCACCGCCTGGGCTAGGCTCTCGAGCGTCTCAATCTACCTCGGAGACCGCGCAAGCTTCTCTGCCTGCGAGGATACCTGACGATGGCGGCGTCCCTAATCGCATCAATGATACCAAAACCAAAGTTACCTCCATTTCTACTTTGAACACTCCCACGGAAGGGAGGTTTGTTAAGTAAGGAATCACAGATACCTTAAAAATCATTCACGCTAAGCAGATTTTTGGGGCTGTCGCGTGGCACTTGTCCTCAGATAACCTGAGGATGAGGTCCACTCCAGCGGTGGGTGTGAGAACACCTAGCGTGAAGTAGTTCTTCTCGACTTCCAAAGTCGGGAAGCACACTTACGTAGAACCACGAAAAAGGGGCGTTTTTCGAGACCTTTCGAACCAAGGGTGGGAGGGCGTTTGCAAAACAGTGGGTTCGAAAAAGTGAAAACTCGATAGAGTGCGTAGAGCTACGAGTTTTAGAGAGAAACAGCCGGACAGAGAGAAGTCGGAAATCGTGAGAACGAAGTGGAGGGAATGGATGACACGAGACAAGAGAAGCTTGTTCTAGAGAGGGACAGTCCATAGTGCCGGTGAATCCAAGGACAGACTTCGATGTCTCACTCTCAACCGTGGGAGGAGCTTTGACCACAACGCATCCTAATCAGGACCGGTTTAGGGAAGAAGCTCCCGGGCTCTTGTCCGCTGTGTTCTCTCGAAATGGACCGAGGAAATTCCTTGTGCCAGCGTCACTTCCTAACCATCCATTTCTACTTTGAACACTCCTGCGGAAGGGAGGTTTGTTAAGTAAGGAATCACAGATACCTTAAAAATCATTCACGCTAAGCAGATTTTTGGGGCTGTCGCGTGGCACTTGTCCTCAGATAACCTGAGGATGAGGTCCACTCCAGCGGTGGGTGTGAGAACACCTAGCGTGAAGTAGTTCTTCTCGACTTCCAAAGTCGGGAAGCACACTTACGTAGAACCACAAAAAAGGGGCGTTTTTCGAGACCTTTCGAACCCAATCATGGGAACGAAGGATTGTAGAGCAGAGGCCATGCCAAAGGGCTCTAAAAACCCACTCTCGAAGGTTCGAGTTCACACCCACACCCAGGTTGTAACACTATCCCATTGATGGTAGACATAAAGACCATTAGATACAAAGAAAACTAAGGATGAGTATTTACAAGTTATGTCAAATGCGTCTCGCCAAAGTAGCTGTCTGACGCGCTAATCGCCGGCTGTACGGCCTCACATACAATTGGTACGCGGAAGACCTCCAGCGTCCAGCTTTCTTCAAGGAACGCACCGAGAACCCCATATGTGCTCTTAAAGACGCACCGCCTATGCGCAAACTGTGCCCAGATAAGACGGAATCAGGTTCAGTGTTGAACGGTCGCAGGAAGTTGATGACTGTGGCACGGTGAATCGGCGAAACCAAATTTGTCGCCGGGAATAGGGGATCAGAGGGTCGTCCCGGAATTCTGACTAAGAGGTCACAAAGTGATTTTATCGGGTCCAGGTGATTAGGCTGCATATTCAACCGTAGGTACTGGCATTCCCCCGGAGAGGCCGTCTTCGCAAGTCTTATCTTTATTGTAGCCTGCGTCCTTGAGTCATTGAATTCTAGATCCTTCCTTCGCACAAAGACGGTGGGGTGGTCGACACTTTTCACCAACTCTCCTAGCCTGGCTAATCCCCAGAATCCTGTCAACAATAAAGCTTTTAATATTATACTATCATTTGAACTGTTACCCAACGAATGCACCATACTGTCCAGGTCCATGAGGGTCACGCCAACTCTTGTCAGTTGCCTCGATATCTCGACCTTCTTCATCGCATGTAGTAAGATCCGTATGCGGTGAACGTTGACTGGGGGAAATGTCGAGTCGTGTAGGATATGCCACATGCGTAATCCAGTCAAATACCGCTTGGTCGTACTGCTCATGACACAATCATCGTCGTCGTCCGTTGCACACCAGAGGATAAATTGGTATATAATCTTTGTAGTCGCGGGAAAAGGAACCACCGGGTATTGAGACATAAACTTGAAGTATTTATTTACTGCCGCGGCATAATGCTTCACAGTGGAAAGTGCCCAACCGTGCTCAAGGATGAATTCACTAGCTTCGTCGAGATCATGAAAGGAACCAGGCCGCGCTTGTCGGAGAACGTCTCTCGGTGATAGCATTGTAATTACTTAGGGTAAAAGGAATCTATACAGATTTTGGTTAGCATCGAGTGAATGATTTGTCGAGAATACGATAATCACTTACAAATCAAGTGTTTTGACGCGGATGGCCAGCAGTTTTCAGTCGTCTCTTGGTGGGAACAACTTTAAATAACAAAGACTGAAGATCTTGAGGGATAGCTATTGTTATCATGTCTTTTAAATCTTTGGAAGGGTCTAGCCCTCGAGACAAACAGTCTGCTTCATTGTCTTCAGAAATAACCCTGACTAGGCTAACGTCGCAGTCGTTTTCAATTAGGAAATCTTGGATCAACTTCCATTCTTTGTTGACCCAAAAATCCTTAGATTTCTTGTTTCTAGCCGCTCCTTCCGTCGTTGTATTGTCGGTTAAACACGAGTAGCTGAATCCTGCAATGCTTTGCTTACTCTTCAACATGATCAGGCCCAGGCGAACCGCGACCGTTTCCGCCCAGGCGATAGTTCGCCTCGGTTGGTCTAATGGATCCTTCCAGCCTTCTCGCCATTTAAATTGAGACCAGGACTTTCCTATAATGATACCGATACCATATTCACTTGATGCGTCTCCCACCCAATCTACAGTTTTTACTACATGGTCGGGCAAGACTCTTGTTGGTCTCAAATTTTCTAACATTGAAGTCCAATAATTTAAATCCTCTCTCACATCTTTGGGCATCGCTCTGTTTCCTGGTGTTCGCCATACTGCAACCCACTTATAATTTGCAGCCAAATAAGCTTTCATCTGAGGTAGGATCAAAGTTATGTGACCCAACTTTCCGTTGAAACTTTCGACTTCGTTCCTGGAGAACCACTTCTTTTCTAAAAATTCCTTCAGTTCTTCTTTTCTTCTTTCTAATTTCTTAATTGGTAAAGAAACTGTCTTCTCCTTACAGTTCCACAAAAATCCAATGAATTTCTGCTCGTATGCGAACTCCGAGTACTTCGTTACGTTCGTTTTCACACCTAGCTCTTCACTAGCTATGACAATGTCTACCATCAAAACTTTGTCGGTCACTCTCTTTATCATCAAGTTGTCGTCTACCCAACAAAAAACTTGCAACAGATCAAATTTTTTCTTCATTAAAATTTTCCACCCGTCAGCAGGTCCTCCAAAGGATCCACACCCTGCTACGCCTCCGAAAGCTATTCTGACATCTATATATATAAACCCATTGAAATCCATAATCGCTAAATAAGGCCATTGTGACATGTGAGTGGGTATTTGTCGATAGGCTCCTTCCCAGTCAAATATACCTATCAAAACTTCATCTTTTAGATTTTTGAAGAACCGAACGACGACTTTAAAGTCGTCCCAAGTCGTTTCAAATTCAGTTTTGTCGACGAATGAGTTCACCGATGGAATCTCTGGATCGAATTTTGGATATGACATGTCGTTTATTGGACGAAAAGTACCATCTCCGTTCTCCACTGCACCTAGTGGACTCGTCCTAAAGAAACCTAAGTTGTCATAAACTTCCTGTTTCGAATACGGGCCAAACATTCTTTTTAGTTTTACTTCTTTCTTGATATTTTCTTCTATCTTTTCTCTAGCTTCTTCTGCAGAAGAATGATTCGGTGGGCAATACCACTTCGCATTTTGTATACCATGCTTTGGTATACCTTGACTAAAACCTTCTTTAAATCCATCTAATAGATAATGGTATTCATCGATTAGACCATACTTGAATAAAAGTTCTTCCCAAACTTTTATATTCATTTCGCACTTCACTGACGTTGGCCAAACGTGTATCTCTCCAGGTTTAAAGATGTTAATGGCATCTTTTGACGTTTGTCTTTTTCTTTTTAAGAAAACACTGAATTTGAATTTTTTTATTTCAAACGACACAAAATAAGAAACAAACGTTACAAATTAAACTGAAAATCTATAATCAAATTCCTTCATAAAAAGGGTTTTTTGATTTCTATCACAAATATCAACATAGCTCACGTCTGTTTTTCATTTGACGTAGATTGTTTTGGCTCCGCATCCTTCTTGCCAAACTTCGCTCCTGGAACGTAATTCTCAACATACTTCCTCCCTTTGTACCTTGGATTTGGATGAACTTCTTTTTCCTTTCCTTTATCTGGTCGTTGGTACGGAGAAGGTGATCTATCTAATTTTATTCCTCTACCTCTATCGTTTCTTCTATTATTCTCTTTGTAATTGAAATTGCGTTGAAAATTTGGAACTCTTAAAGATGATTCGTCTTCTTCTTCTACTTCTAAATCAATTGAATCATGAATTTTTCCTGTTCCATAGCGTATACCATTTATTGGGCTATATCTCTCCTTCGATTGACCTTTCGCGTATGCTAATTTGAGTAATCAACTGTCAACACAATTTCATTATTAATGTTTTCAAATTTTCAATTTGCTTACGATTATCCTTTGGTAAGATCCTTCCATCTTGTAAAAAGGCTGTTCTTGCTAAAGCTTCCTCTAAGATTTCAGGTCTTCGTTCTCCTGGATCTCCAGGTGCTCCATCTATGTGATTGCAAGTAACATCATTTCTTACAGCTATATTGTATCTAAAAGCAGCAACCCAACCGTGACGATCACTAAGTTGCTGTACGTAGTCGAAATGTCTTTCCAAACTAATCACATACATTTAGGATTTGCATAACACTGTCAATTTCAATTTACAATTTTTATCTCATTTTTTACAAAGAACTCACTCATTCGCAAAGTCTATGTGTTTGTATTGTTCTTTCAGGTATTTCACCATTAATATCCTCGCTCTCGTCCAATCTGCGAAAGACATCCACCATTCGTTTTTCGGGTCTTGTCCAGTTGGACGATCCTTCTTTTTCTTTGAGCTACTTTTTCCCGCTACTAAACTGTCCAATTCAATCCACTCTGCATTAAAAATGGTTAAAGGGAAATGTATGTCCATTTTTTCAAGGTGACTATCCCAATACTCGGTGAACCTCCTTAAAGTATTCTTTGCCGTCTTCCCAGTCTTGTATCGTACTAAAGGATTTATT